GAGTTTAATGTTAAAACATATGATCTCATAAATCCTGAGGAAAGGCATAAAAATTTATTGTCAGATTTATGACATTTTTGAAAATTTATCTTGAATTATTCAAGTTAATAGCGAAACTGAAACAGGGTGCAGTTTTCAAATTTTAAGAAAAATTACTTTATTCATTGAAACTAATGACTATGAATAACTGTCACTGATTTTGTTTTTACTCAATTGATAGACAAAGGTGTTTTTCTTCATATTTTAATTTTTTTAAAACAAAAAAAGATAAATTTATAAATTTTTAATAACTATCTAAAAATTTGTTACAGATGAAGATATTTGGAGTTCTTTTATTATTATACTAGGAGTGTAAATGATATAGAAGCACTAATTTTTAATAGTATATATTTTCTAAAGTAATAGAGTTTTTATTTATTAATCTGACAAATATTATTACTTTAAACATTATTTTTAGTGAGTACTCATATTTGAGTAGACACTCCATATATTTATTAAACAGTATATTTATTTATTTCAGTTTACCAGTCTGAATATTTGAGAAATCTTATTTTTCTTTAATAAGATTTATTAGATATTCAGGCCAGTAGACTAAAATAAATATATACAGTGTTTAATAAATAAACAAAACGTCTACTCATGAGCAACCATGTGTGAGTGTTTATTACAAGGACAATGTGAATGCCTGCAGTAGAAATATTCCTGTTTTTAAATTTGTTTTCAAGAGCAATCTGTCACAAGTTAGAAGTCTCTATGAAATTTTTTATGCAGATACATTAAACTGACATGAAAAGGATTGCAGATGTGCACAGAAAAATTTGCATTTGTTTAAATCATTGTATCAATTTTTAAAAACTTACAAGTGAATCATGAAAAACAAAAGCAAAAATATTAAGAATTTCATTAGTAAAATTGGGGTTGGAAAAAATTATACAAATTTGTAGTCAGTTGCTTTGTTCCCTAATCTGTTTCTTTCCGCTCAAATAGTGTAAGTGAAACAATCCAACACACGTCTCCTGTTCGCTACCACAGTCGCACTGATCTGTTGCCTTGTCAAAGGCCTTTTTGTAGCTTGAGTGACAGGTCAAATTTGCATAGGTGCAAAAAAGAGACTCACGAAAGTATCAGACAGATCTATCATTTTCTTGTAAGGCCAACATTTTCTTTTTAGAATACTTTACACACGAGACATCTGAATCCATTTTATACTCCTCTCTGATCTCCCGATTACATATATGGCAGGAGGATGGTGGTTGTCTTTAGCAAGTGCTTCTTCGTAGATGAGGGAGAGATATTTCTATTAGCATTACACCTTTGCCTGTGTTCTCCCATCTCCCTCATTTCCTATGTTGTCATCCTCTGGATCTGCAGGCAGACTTTCCAACCTTGTTCTTAAGAACAACAGAGTCTCAGAGTCAGTCTCAGATGATGTACTATTTCCACCGTCTTTTGAAGCAGAAGAATTGTTCCGTGGTTGCAGGTCTTTCACACGGCACAGTGTTCCATTAACCAATGCTGTTTGGAGGCTAACTATCCAATTGACTCATCCTTTACTGGATCTGTTGGTACATCAGCTGTATGGGGCCTTGAGCCAGACATTTCCTCCCACTTGATACTGATTATTTACCCTGTTAGAAGGCATTAGTGATGCATCTATTACCTTTCATGTGCTGTTTATACTGCTAAATTCCATTGGTTGGTGCAGTTGATGGTGTGGAATCATCTTTTGGGGTCACATTGTACTAATACACAGCTTCCTGAAGGGAACACCATGTTCTAGCTGCAGTTCTTTTAATGGTGTGGTGACATTTCTCTGCTATACTATTACCCTCTGAAACATGGCACATCGGTATTGCACCCATGCACCTCATTCATCTACAAAGGCCTGAAAGTCTTGGCCACAAAATGTTGGGTATTGTCTATCAATATCTTGACTAGTGGGCTGCATTCACTGAATACTGCCTGTAGGTGTCATATGACAGTCAATGCATCCTGGTATGCCAGCAGATGCCAAACAGGCCACAATCTGTGAGTGTTAAAAAAATGTGTGCCATTGTAGTATGTGATGTGTGCCTAACAACTACTAATTGCTATCCACTTCAAGTCTCCACTTTTGCCAAAAACAGTGGACGTGATCAGCAATGGGTCAGTCCCTCATTTGATCATGTCAAGACACCTTTTTGGCACCAGAGTTATTTGTCGACCAACTGTTTTAAGGTTGCCAACCATTGCCATATTAATATCTTGCTCAAGGCTTTGGTCTTACTTGGGATTTGCCCATCAAGGTGTTGGGCAACGAGTGGTAAACATATACCGAGTTTGTATATACGTGCACCAAACTTAGACTGCCACAGTAGTGTGAGGTTAAGACCATTTAGCGTAGTGTCAAGTTCTGCCACATTGATATACTGAACATTGTTTGTTGGACAAAGCCAGCATGCTACCTCCAACACCACACCCGTCGCCAGGGAGCTTGCATCAACCCATGTGTTAACTTCTGATTACACACCAGTCACCTTGGGTGGGATCATCTTTGTGTACTTTGGTGATTACTTCAGCCATCATCTGCTTGAGAAGGATGTTGTTCACTATGTCATCCCATCCCTTTGTGACCGCAGTGTCCTACCAACTTTCTGCAGAGTTGTTCCTGGAGTTATGATATCAACCAGCTGTTAGCAATCCATGTCTGTAACTCCTCTTCATATTCCTCTCTGATCTTGTTAGATATTGTGTATTCTAGAACTGCATTCTGTAACAGCTCTGGTACTTTGTTCATGGCCCACTTTCACCTTGTAGTTCAGGCTTTCTTTTTGTGTCAAAAGTAACACAGAAGTCAGGCTCATCAATGGAGATTGCTGCACACGATTCTTTCTGTCAAGATGCACATCTCTAGCTGGTGTAATCACAGTGCTGCCTAATGTTTGTATTATCAATCCCAATCAGCAGATCATAGTTAAGAGGTTTTTCTTGTCAACCAGAATGCCAACTTCAGCATGGTTACCTTGCTCTGTGTGAATTGTAACAACTCCAGCTCCACAGCATTCTTGGAGCACACTACTGATTGTTACAACATCTACATGTTGCCTTCTCCCCAATCTACAGTGATGAGCACTAATTATTGACCAGAAAATCTGGTGTCAACAAGTGCTGAACACTCTATTCTACAGGTAATGGTATGTTTACTATCTTACAGGGTACAAGGTTGGTGACAATATCTTGTCCAGATCCATTTCCCAAACAATTCTGCATAGTATGACCCAACTTAATACAGCGATAGTACCTCAGCTGTTTCTGTGATCCCTAACTCATGCTCCCCAAACTACTTCGACTCCAGCATTCGCTTGCAAAGTGGTTTAGACTACCACATTAATAACAAATGGGGTTATCACGATTGCCAGTGGCAGAGGAATCACTTGGTGTAGGTCTCTCTGGTTGGGATACTGCTCTGCTGTCCATTCTTGCTGCTGCCACTGGTTCCACTTCTTGACAAATGGCTAGGGCCAATAGATCATCCATTTTGGATGTTTCTCACAAAAGCCAACTGACATCATCTGGCAATCTGGCTTCAAAAGTGCACCCCAGCATCCAGTCATTCATGTCCCCAAATGGCATAGAAAGTCTCCGTAAATTGGCCAGGTAGACGACAAAAAATGAAAATGGCATTGGGAGTAGTCGGTGTCCAATTAATTGTTCATATGCCACAAACAGGTCCATTCCAAAGGCCGTTTAAAGAGCCTGTTCTATCTCAGGAAAGTTGTTTTGTTCTTCCACTTTAATCTGCTGGTACAGAGACTCAAAGGAATGACTGTTGCTGGCTCTTTCATTTTGCATAGTTGGCAAATGAGCTCTGCTTTCTCCACCCACTTACCAGATACGACAGTGGACAAACCATCAACATCTGGTATCAACTTCAAGCAGAATCAGTCGATGTGTGTCAAGTGCCGAAATAGCTTGTAGTCAGTTTCTTTGGGCTTTGAATAAGGTTCCCTAATCCATTTCTTTCCCCTCAAACAGCCTAGTGTAGCGTAAGTCAACCAATTCAGCACATGTGTCTCCTGTTCACTACCATGGTCGCACTGCTCTGTTGCCTCATCAAGCACTTTTTATAGCTTGAGTGACAGGTCAGATTTGCATAGGGGCAAAAAAGAGACTTGTGAAAGTATCCAACTCCGAGATCTATTGTTTCTTAAATATACGACTTGTAATATGGCTGTTTTCTTTTTGGAATATTTTACATGTGAGACATGTTTGAATCCATTTTCTACCAGGAGGTAAGCCATTTTCTCTTGTGTTACAAAGAGGTTTTTAAAATCGCAAAATATTAAGTGATTTTTGAAAAAAATTTTCATAGAAAGTTATTAAATGTAAATTCAAACTATATAATTTCTTGCTTAAAATACAGGCTTTTGTATTTTGTTCCTACCAATCTTTTAAAAAAGATGAATATATTCTTAGTCATTGTAATCAGCTCAGGAAATAGATTTTCTAACTCTTAAACCTTAGAAGCTAGAAGTTGTATAGCTATGTTCACCCTTGTTTAACTTTATATAACAAATGCTGTTTAAATGTGATGCTTCAATAATGACCAAAACGTTAATGACCATTTTTTTCCCTTTGATTTAAATTAAGATTTGAACAAGGGAATGACTCCTCTCCAAAATATAGAAGGAGAAAGCCAGGAGATGGAGGTGACATTGGCAAGTTCATTGAGTAATAATTAAATGCATCATTTTTCTCCACAAATTATAATAATGATTTAAAATCAATCAAAATTTTCTTACAAAATAAATGTGTGACATGCAGCAAGGCACAGGTAATTTGGCTAGTTACTAAAAAAATGTTTACTAATTAACCCACAGCTAGAGGGCGAAGAAGTGGATTCAATTTCCCAAGAAGTGGTGGATTTATACTATAAGTGAATATAACGAACAAAGCTGGAATTGAAACTCGGCTCTCTGATTTCCTATTTTGAGCCATTATACCACTTGCACATCCAAATTTACAGCATCTGTTATTCCCAAGGGGTCACCTATCTAGGTACTGACCAGGCTCAACATCACTTAACTTTGGTGATCATACGGGAACCAATGTTAAAATGTGATATGGCTGTAAGCCTGAAGTTACACTGTAAAATAAATTTAATGTCTAGTTTACATAAAACATTTTACAGTCATTAGAAATTTGAAAATGCATTGGAATAATGAAAGATGTCTTCCAGATAGTGAGGAATTTTTTTTTAACACAAAGAAAAGGTGTTTAACACCTACATAATATCTAGGTATATGACAGTGATACTAGATAAAATTCCCACAGATGAAGATATTTGAAGCAAGAGACACCATTCTATTGATGAAGACTAAGAATATCATGGACAGGATATGTGAGAAATGTGGATTTTTTTTTATTAAGGAAAATAAGAACTATAAGGAAAATGGCAATCTGAGTTAGATAGTTGAAATTTCTGAAACTAAATGAGGAAAGCTGGCCTAGAGAATTTAACATTCATAGGACATACTGATGGCAAGAAAAACAGAGAGGAAACAATAAATAACCTACTTAATGGGTGTGTGAATGGTTGGTAGAACAGGGACAAAGAGGGATGGAAATGTGCCAAAAGGTATTTAGAACAACAAAAGGCAGTAAGTTGTGGAAAAACCATGATTGCTCATGTCCTGAAATGACAATCCACATAAAAGAATTGAAATAATAAGTTATAAATATTTCAAAATTCTGAAAATCAGCTTAAAATACATACAATAAAGAATTTATATCTTTAAGAATGAACAAAAATTATCAAAATGTTTAAAAAAGCATAAAAGCCTTTTTGTTTTACCAAGAAACAAAACTTAACACACTGCTATCAAAAGTGGGGCACCTTGTCATGATATGGTTAACCAGCTAGTTGTGAAGGTCATTGTTACCAAATAACAAGTTTGATCCTCACTGTGTGCTCCATAATGATTTTGTGTCAAAATCAAGCTGTTTAGTAGAATTACTATTGAAAGAGTGTTGCTGGTTAACTAAATTTGCATGACTAAAGAGATGGAAAGTAAACAAAGTGCATGTGTACTAAAACATGATAGACCAGACATAGCAAGATAGCTTTACTGCACTCCTGAACAATATCAAATTTTATTATGTAGCTCAATGTTTTCACAATTGCTATTAGCATTACTGCTATGGATGTACTTATACGTCACTACAAAACTTACATTGCCTGGTGTCGATATACAGATATATTTTCAGGACATCTTGAAGTTTGGGTGTCTTGTATTTGTATTATAAACTTTTTTTTAACCATTTCACCTCAAGCAAGGCATATAATAATGTACAAGACAAATTTTTGTGCCATTTTTGTGTGTTGGGGTTTTGTTTAGCTCTGTCTGTACTGTTGAATATCCAAATGAAAACAAAATGGTTTTCTCAAAAATGAGAAATTGCCATCAGTATCTTTATAGTCATTTATTTCCAGTAAATGGCGATTTTTTATTCCTCCTCAAATGGGTCAGCACAGCTAGGCAGTAATGCTATAAAAATGCAACAGTGAACTAATGTTGATAAAATTTTCATTTGAAATATTTACAATAATTGACAGTAAGAAACATTATTATGCAACTCTAGAACTCTTCATGTGTGTGCATATATAAAATTACCATGGACTATATAAGATATGCTAAAAAGAAAACAACATATTGGAAAGTTATTGAATGTTGGGAATATAACACTGGGATTTACAAAAATGTTGAACAGATATCCAATAAAAAAAAAAAAATCCCTGAAAACATTGGCAAGACCACAAATCTTGCTTTAAGAAAGTTACAGAAAAATTCAAAGTGTAATGAGCAAGAAAAGTGAGTTGGCCAACAAGAAAATATTTGAAGATGGTTTTGAAAATGTCAACAGAAAGGATGAATATTAAGAACAGTGGTTAAAGATATGGAAGCAATCAGACTATGTTTAAGTAAACGTTACAAATAGATATGTGTAAATTGAGCAAAATAGTACATAAAGACTGATTTCTTAACAGTAATATTTAGTGATGAATATAGAGCTACATTGGATGAACCTGACGATTGGCCTATTGGATATGTCATCCATGGAAATAATAGACAAATACAACTGCACACATAGAGCTGATTTAATGTTTTGTTAGCATTGTAGGTGGTTAAATTCTAGGTCCTTTCAAAGTTGGAGATTACATAAAGATATGCGAGGAATTACTAAAAAGTCAATAAAATCAATAAATTTAAGACTGATGAAGGGTATGGAATATTAGAGAGTACATGTTAATCTGACAACAGAAAACTTATTTTAAATAAGTATATATACAAGTTGAAGCTCACATGATATATTGTTCATATAAATATATGCTAAAACTTTTATCAACATTAGTTGGTTAATATCTGCTTTGTAATCTGACAGCATATAATAAAGCACAAAGAATTATCTTGATACACTTGGAATTTTAAAAGCTATTTTTATCATTAATCAAAACTGCTTTAAGAATACTTACTGAAGCATAATATTTCATATATGAGGGTAAATAAGTGGTTGAGGTTTTAGTGAAGAAATTCTTCTGTAGTGCAATAATTTTATGTGAAACCCTTAAAAAATTCAAAGGTTAAACAAATGTATATGCAATGCAAGGGGAAAATCCTCCTTAAAAGTCACAAACATTTGTCTTTTGCAGATAAAGATCAAAATATTTTCACATATAAAGCTTTCAATTGTTATGACAGCATCAAATTGAAATACAGTCGGTTGTCAATCCAAGTGGGTGGGGAATTTTAGGATTTTGGCACCACAGATTGGCTGGTTCAAACTGATGGAACAAACTACAATTATAAGGTGAATCTTTCAGAATTGGGGAATGACATTGAAATATGGTGTCAAGAGTATATGAGTGGAAAACTGTTAAGAATTACTTTTTGAAGATATTTATGAATGAAACAAGAAAAAAAAAAAAGTTAAAAAGGTGTCTCAAATCAGTATCTCTTTAAGTAAAGTTATTTTTTTACCTATCAAATCTTGATTTAATACTCTTTTCAATCAAGGTATAGGGGGAGAGAGAAAGTTGATCCAGGCAAATGCCCAATGTCACAGCAGCCTATCTCTTGTAAATACACCAAGACATGACAGGTGGTGTTACTTTCAATTGAAACACACACATACACAAAAAGGGGAGGTGGAGAAAGGATGAGAAAAAAAAAATTCAAAATATAAGTAAAACAAAACAATGACTGATAAGCAATAAGAGAGAGAAAGAAAGAGTGGGGGGGAAGAACACCTCTTTCAGTATTTATTTTGGACAGCTCTTTGATCGTGGGAAACCAAATCCCTGAGAATTGGGGCTTGCACTTACTCAGTAAAGAGAAAAAAAATTAAAAAAAAATTCAGCTTTTAACTAAGTAAGCAGTCAAAGGCAGTTAAACAATCATTCTATTTTAGAAAGAGAATGAAAAATTTAGCAACCATGATCAAATTGTTTATGAACAAAATGATTTAACTGAAAACCTTTATAAAATGTGTGTGTGCGTGTGTGTGCATGTATAAATGCATATTCAGTAGAAAAGCAAGCAACAAAGCAAGAAAAATTGTTAATTTTTCATAACTTCTTTTCCACGTACAGCTTAATTTACATAATATTCACATATTAAAACAGATTAAATTCTTTCAATATAGTTTGTCATCATTTTATGCACTAAAAGGATTTGCATTAATGAAAACAAAAAATCAAAAAACAGTTAATCATCATAATACTTGCATAATTATATAAAGTGAGAAAATAAAAATTATCTAATGCGAATGTAAATGTTTCCTTTATCTGGCAGATTAACTATTGATACATTACTTGAATATCACTTGAAATCTATTTATTATCAATAAAAAAAAGACTCATACAAACCAATTTCAATTTAATGCTATCACAAAGATTATTAAATCTGTATGAACAAATTATGTGACATTTTGATTCTTAATCAAGGTGGAATGGAGAAACATGTTTCCTTATAAAGAAGATTTCAGATCTATTGATTTAAGCTGAGCATAAGATATGATCACCTTAATCAGGTCCAGTAATATGATTTAGGCCAAAGAGCACAACAACATAACACAAGGCAATATCAATGGCTAATTGAACATGAAATAAATGCAAAATGAGTATTGCCAAATTAGAAACCTCATGTGAAAACAAAACTGAAAAATATCCTAATGACCCATTTTCTTAGATATTAGACTAAAGTTCAAAATTTGTAACATCTTTGTGGTTTGAGTACCAAATTCTGCTCAAAATTTTAGACATTAGTTAAATTAGTATCAACAATGTTCAATCAATATTAAATTGGAAGTAATTACATAAATTGCATTAATACTTTAAATAATTCCGCTGAAAAACAGAAATACCTAAAATGTTAGCAATTGAGAAATAAATAAATCTAAGACATTGATTCAGTAATCAGAGAGCAACAGGGACTTGATGGTGAGTAACAAAACAATGTCATTTATTTTTCTGAATAGCTGATAGTTAATAATCAAAGAGCATTATTTATTAAATTTTTTTTTTTGCTTTTTATTCTTTCAAAAAAAATTTGCAAGTATCTTTACATATCTTAAGATAAAAAATGAAGGCATTTAAGAGTTTTCACATGAGAAATTTAATTGAAAGGTTTTAACATTTGTATTTTACATCATAATTAGAAAAGAAAAAATAAAGTTCTAAGTAGTTTTCAATTATTTTTTTTTTTTTAATTACGGTCTGTTTGTATATAACAATTTAATGTTGAGTTAAATATATTCAACAGTCAATTTACTATTTTCATCAAGCCATCCATGAAATTCATTAAAAGATTTATTTACTTTTCTATCAGAAATGCAGTTCATATATCCTACTCAACCCAATAAGTTCCATTGGTTTGGATTATATGCTTCTAAAACAATGTTTGTCTACCTTTTTTATCTCATGATGCACTTGAGCCTATAGTTAAACTTATGTGGTAAACTTAAATTGTAATGATTTAAAAAAAAAAAATAAATAAAAAGGGTAAAGTATACTTTTTATGATTTATTATAACAAACAAAATTTATTGTAATTTCTAATAAAAAGATAATTAAA